CTCTCCTCCCCTCTCTCTCTCTCCTCCCCTCTCTCGGGTCTGAAAAATAGAACAAGAATCAGTCTGAGGTGTGAGGATTCTGGAGGAATTCTGTGTAGACATTATTCATCCCGAGACAGTCCAGATCATTCTCATGTTATTATTTATCTATAGAGAGGAGCATCCTGTAGAGATCACATGACCACATCAATGAGGATGGAGAAGGATCGAAGTGACATGACTGATATGATATTAGACTTCACCCTGAAGATCCTCTACCTGCTGACCGGAGAGGTGAGGAGAACGCTGGGAGGTCACATGACATCACCATTATCTTTATTAATAATTCTGACCAGTTGGTTTCTAGGAAGTCTCCAATGATAATTGTTCTGTCTTTCCTCAGGATCATAAAATAGTAAAGAAAACATCCACTGAGCAATTAATACCCAGCAGATATCTTCATGGGTCATCGCCCATCACAGAGCCTCCACCTCACCGCCTGACAGTAGAGATAAACAGAGACAAGAAGATTCTAGAAGTCACCCAGAAGATCATTTATCTGCTGACAGGAGAGGTGAGCGGTGCCGGGAATTCTGGGACATGATCCAGGAACAGACAAGGGATGTGTCTGGGTGGTGACTGTATCATTGTGTGTGTCAGGTTCCTATAAGGTGTCAGGATGTCTCTGTCTATTTCTCCATGGAGGAGTGGGAGTATCTAGAAGGACACCGGGATCTCTACAAGGACGTGGTGATGGAGAATGAGCCGCCCCTCATATCACCGGGTAAGAGGAGAGAAAAGTACGGAGGCTCCACCTAGATCCCCCATCATCTGATACACACATAGAAACAATGTATTCAGTCAGTGTGTGTGTTTCCTACAGATGGATCCAGTAAGAGGAACCCACCAGAGAGATGTCCCCGTCCTCTGTATTCCCGGGATCCCACACAGGAAGATCTCACCATCCCCCACCATGATCAGGTAGGTGGGACTCGGTGTATAGAACACAGAAGTAATTCTGAACTTTGTGACGCAATGTTCTTTTATGTAGTCCATTAGTTTCATGTTTGCTGTACATCTAAAATGCAGCCCCGCCTTCATTTCATCTTCCCCTTGCAGAACCTCCCACTTTTATTGTTTTCTATAAATCAATGAACATACGTTTCTTCCATGGGTCTTGGGCCCAGTCACATGACATCATGGATCCTCTTTGTCCTTGTATCCTCCAAAGGGCACATTCTAAATGACATTGTGCTGTCGTTTGCTTCTGTGAGTCTAGGGCGGCGTGATGATGGGCCTCCAAGGTTAAGGTCCCTGGCCTCCCAGGCTCACAGAAAATGGGTGGAAGACCTGCCCTGAAATGGGCAGAGCAGGAGACCTCACTTTTTTTGTGCTGCAGGTCAGTAACACGTACAGGTCTTGTCCCTCCTCCCAGTCTTTGACTGCACAGTAAAATGAGAAGCAGCAGACTGATGAGCTCCTCTCTCTGTCACTTCGCTCTCTCTTCCAGTCAGCATGACCATAGGCTACGGGGATCGGAGTGAAACTGTGAGTAAGGGAAGCTGGGATGGGGTTGGCTGTAAATCTATTGCTATAGTGTACTGGACGTGTGTAATGTATATGCAGTACATATATACAGCACACACCTCCACTACACTCCAGCAATAGTTACAATTCTCCCCTGCTAACATGAAAAGGTTAAACCATGATCCATAGTACATAACATGTAGTTGTACTATGGATCATTTAAAGTCACCTGTCCTTTTAAGAAAAAGTATCTGTAATTGGTATCGGCAAGTACATGAGGGGATGTACTTGTACTTGGGCCTGAAAAAGTGGCATCGGGACATCCCTACTGTACACCATATGAAAGGTCAATCTCCATCCCCCCCATTGCTGTCATGAATGAACAGTACAATGGTCTCCAGTGTGTCAGAGGTGTTTTGGGGGTTCTGTCTCCTTTTATCTGGTTGTTTTTCATATTTTGGGGTTACAATTGGACCCAATTCCATGCCAGAGCTCTGTGATGACTTCTAGACCAACATACATGACTCTGATTACTGACGTGTGTAATGATTTCTCTCCAGCAGATGGGTGTGATGTCAGGAATACCTCGGAGAGACATCTTATATTATCTGCTGATTGTAAGTCAGAAGATAATGTCATCACGAAGGATTCTCCAGGAGTGAATCCAAACACACAAAATATACATCACAGACCTCACTGCTCGGAGACATCAATGGATCCCTCTGATCAGGGTGAATCTTCTGATCATTCACATACTATGATTGGGAATAACCATCTAAGATCTCACACTGCAAGAGATCCATCTAATCCCAAGGAATCCTCCTCATCCCATGAAGGAGATCACAGAGGTGAGGATCCATTCTCATTTTCAGAGTGCGGGAAATCTTTCACTGAAAACAAAAACCTATTTAGGCAGAAGAGAATTCACACATGTGAACGTCCTTATCCATGTTCAGAGTGCGGGAAATCTTTCTCTCGGAAAGGACAGCTTGTTATACACCAGAGAATTCACACAGGTGAGCGTCCTTACTTATGTCCGGAGTGCGGGAAATCTTTCACTCATAAAGGAGCCCTTCTTCAGCACCAAAAAATCCACACAGGTGAGCGCCCTTATCCATGTTCAGAGTGCGGGCAATCTTTCACTGAGAAAGGAACCCTTGTTAGGCACCAGAGGACTCACACGTTTGTGCGTCCTTATTCATGTACAGAGTGCGGGAAATCTTTTACTGGGAAAGGAGACCTTGTTAAACACCAGAAAGTTCACACAGGTGAGCGTCCTTATTCATGTCCAGAGTGCGGGAAATCTTTCACTGAGAACGGATCCCTTGTTAAACACCAGAGGACTCACACGGGTGAACGTCCTCATTCATGTTCAGAATGCGGGAAATATTTCATTGATAAACAAAAACTTCTTAGACACCAGAGAAGTCACACAGGTGAGCGCTCTTATTCATGTCCAGAGTGCGGGAAATCTTTCATTGAGAAAGGAACCCTTGTTAGGCACCAGAGGATTCACACGTTGGAGCGTCCTTATTCATGTGCAGAGTGCGGGAAATCTTTCACTCAGACAACAACCCTTAGTAAACATAAGAAAATTCACACGGGCGAACGTCCTTATTCATGTTCGGAGTGCGGGAAATCCTTCCCTGAGAAATATAATCTTCTCAGACACCAGAGAAGTCACACTACGCAGCATCCTCACTGCATTCTGACTCGGGGAAATGTCTAATTAGACTTCATTTATCTGTAACACATCAGAGAGGAAGTTCCTGCTGATTCTGATGACAAATGTACGATGGTTTTTATCAGGTGGAACTGTTTAGTCCATAGAACAACTGGAGGATATGAAAACACTCGGACTCATCACATGGGTGCAGAGGCCTGTACAGAGACATGAATGAGTTTATGCACTTGGGTGGCCCCCAGGAGTTTCCAGGTGCTTTCCTTCAGCCGCAGCTGCTCACCCATCCCTGTATGGATGTAATCACTTGTATGTGAATGGCTTTCTTACATAGCTGATCAGTGCAGAAGAACTTTTTAAATTAGTGTTTATCAGGAAGAAGAATGTTCCTCACATTGATGTGCAGTGGACATTGAGAGGATCCATCAAGAGAAGCTACTGCAAACCATGAGGGGAGAGCTGTCGGAGAATGTAGTGTGGATGGTGGGGGTAGAGCTGTCAGAGAATGTAGTGTGGATGGTGGGAGGAGAGCTGTCAGGGAATGTAGTGTGGATGGTGGGGGGAGAGCTGTCAGAGAATGTAGTGTGGATGGTGGAGGAGAGCCGTCAGATAATGTAGTGTGGATGGTGGAGGAAAGCTGTAAGAGAATGTAGTGTGGATGGTGGAGGAGAGCTGTCAGAGAATGTAGTGTGGACGGTGCGGGAGAGCTGTAAGAGAATGTAGTGTGGATGGTGGGGGAGAGCTGTCAGAGAATGTAGTGTGGATGGTGGAGGAGAGCTGTCAGAGAATGTAGTGTGGATGGTGGGGGAGAGCTGTCAGAGAATGTAGTGTGGATGGTGGAGGAGAGCTGTCAGAGAATGTAGTGTGGATGGTGG